GGGGGGCGGCGGGGGGGGGGGGGGGGGGGGGCTCTTTAGCTTTTAAAGTGTAAGTGACTATTTATACACATCCAAGCTCAGGTTTGTAGAGAGATCTCCCCACCCACAGCTGCCTGATTTTCACCAGCTGCCTGCTTTCTGCTCCCAACGGGTGACAGTTTCTTTAGTGTCCTCAAAGAGTTCGTCACTGAACTCTTGTCTAAGTAAACAGGAGTGCACACTCATCCCTCTCCACAGGTGCTCCCACAGGTGCTCCCCCAGCCCGCGTGTCTCCCTGTAGCAGTGTTAGTACAGAGAGAGCTGCCTTGTCCTTCCCTATGGCTGCACTTGACCTCACTCTGAAATAGACAGCTGGCTGCTCACCCCAGACACACCGCTAGACCATTTCTTTGAAGTTCTATGCGACTGAATCCTAGCTAACAGCATGAGCAAAAGTCTAACCTCCAAAGCGAAAGTGTGGTTAAGAGATGCTCTTGCAGACGACCTGGATTTGATTCCAGCACCCAAGTCAGGCCTCTCACAACTGCCTGTGACTCCAGTTCCAGGGGAATCCACACCTCTGGCCCTTGCAGGCACCTGTACTTACTCGTACACAGCCACACGCAGATACACTAACACATAACAAAATAATAAAAATACATACATATATTAAAAAGTCTAACTTCCAAGTACATCTATAAAAGCTCTCAGGTACTTCCCTGCCCATGCCCCTCTGCTGGCCTAATGTATGTTCACATGTGAGTTCAAGAGTGAAGAGGGTAGAACTCCCGGGTGAATGGAGCCCAGGGCTGGGGTGCAGCTCAGTGGTAGAGTAGCTTTCTAGCTTGTGCCAAGCTCTAAATTCAATCCTGGATTCCCTGAACCGCCTCCTGCACCAGAGTACCCTGTGGACAATACACAAGAGAGAGGCGTTTCTATTGGATGGAGCCACTGAGAGGGGTCTAGGTGCCCTAGCAATTAGCATCCCCTGGGGCTCTCAGAGGAACATGTTAGCTCCTCCCAACTGTTTGCTCTTAGGAACAGTGCAGCTCATGCAGGAAAAAATCCACAGACTGGAAATTGCTGGATTAGAGAGAGAGAGAGAGAGAGAGAGAGAGAGAGAGAGAGAGAGAGGGAGGGAGAGAGAGAGGGAGAGAGAGGGAAAGAGAGAGAGAATACATTTGTACCACTGATAGCTCCCGACACACTGCCTTCCTCCAGACGGCGGAAGAGGCCATCTTCTTCACCACACTTGTCAACAGGGGAATAATGGATGCTCAGCTTTACTCAGTCTCAAAGGTGAGATTTATTTAGCTGCTTGGTTTCTTATTTCCTCTGAGATCCACCTGGACAGTGGCTGCTGTTCCCCAGTGCCTGGCTCAGATCTCAGGTGGGCTGGACTTCGGCACTAGGGGAACCTACTTCTCTACTCAGCAAACAGTCACTAAAGCCCACTAGAGCTCAGGTTCTGCCTCACACACAGGCATATGTGTCTTCCTTAAAAATGGATTTTATTTTATTTTTGGTTTTTCGAGACAGGGTTTCTCTGTGGCTTTGGAGGCTGTCTTGAAACTAGCTCTTGTAGACTAGGCTGGTCTCGAACTCACAAAGATCCTCTGCCTCCTGAGTGCTGGGATTAAAGGTGTATGCCACCACTGCCCGGCTAAAAACGAACTTTTTAAGAGATTTTGAGACATAAAACTTAGGCTCTGGGAACAAAAGTCCCAGAATAAAACTGACTCCATTTCTTCCTTTTTAATTTTAATTTTATTTTATGCGCATGGGTATTTTGCCTGCATGCATGTCCATGTACTACGTGTGCCTGGTGCCCATGGGAGCAAGAAGAGGGTGTTAGATCCCCTGGAACTAGTTTCTGATGGTTGTGAGCCGCCATGTGGGTGGGAATCAAACCTGAGTCCTCTGGGAGGGCAGCCAATGCTCTTAACCACAAGCCATCTCTCCAGCTCCTCCACCATGTTTGTAACTAGATGCTGTCTGTAGGTACTTAGACTCTTTCATGCTTGTCTTCACTTGATGTACAGAGATAATGACTCTGGCTTCATGAGTTTATGTGGGGAGCCCTTATCTCAGTAGAATTCTGATTCACACAGTAGAATATTATTATTCTCAGAATTCTTATTCACACAGCATTAAAAATGTGCCATAACCAATGCCTGGTTGTGCAAACCTGAAATCCCAGTACTCAAGAGGTAGAGGCAAGAGGACCAAGAGTTCCAGGCCAGTCTCAGCTATGCAGTAAATTTGGGGTCACCCTGGTGTACATGAGACCCTGTCTCAAAAAAAAAAAAAAAAAAAAAAAAAAAAAAAAAAAAAAAAAAAAAAAAACATAGAAGACACTAACTAGCTAAGTGTGGTGGCTCACATCTGTAACTTCAGCACTTGGGAGATTGAGGCAGGAAACTTGCCATGAGTTCAAGGACAGTCTGGGCTACATGAAGAGCTCTGAACTAGCCTGGGCTATGAATCAAGACCCTGTTTCAAAAACAAAACAAAACAAAAAAACAAAACTAGATAGCATGAAAAATACACTGTTTTATTAAGTGTACTGTGTGTGTGGGGGGGGAGCTACTATATTTTGTTTTGACATTAGAGGGAGAAGAAAGATCAGGGGAGAAAACTGGGCATCGGATGATAGAACTGTATCTCCCTAGCCACCAAGTCCATAGCGAGAACAGTGTCATGGCCTCTAGGAGGGGTCTTGGGACTGCCTTACAAGTATTGTTGGCTACTTGCCTATAGTAGACAGGTCACTGCTCCTCAACACCCTGCCCTTGGGAAGAAACTATCTCCTCTAGGCATGTGGCAGAGTGGGACCCTCAGTCCTGGTGTCCCAGCTTCTCTGGCCTGGAAGGTGGCATAGCCAAGGCAGACCAACCTGAATACCCTCTCCCCCTAGCACAGTGACTAGGCCATGCAGACTGTGCCATCCACACACAGGCACAGCCTAGAAGCGAAGAGAGTCTTTTCCTTTGGGTTCTGGAGCTGTTAAGGCACGGGCCTGGGTTTCTAGCAACTACCTTTCTTGCTTGGAATCTCGTGAGAATGAAGGCCACACACACACAGCCTGCAAAAAAGACGGAAGAGTGCAGAGCAGCCAGCCGGAGACCTGGGGCCTCACTATGCCAGTCTGAAGTCTCCCGGTGCTCTGGGTAGCACGTGTAGCTCTGGGCCACCCCACCCGCCGCCATACCTTCAAGGTTACCAGGTCCAATCCACCAGGAAAGACATTGAGGACGGGCTTCCCCTCAGAGGCGTCCTGCAGGATCCGCAGTGCCCGCACACACTCTCCAACCCGCTGGTGCACCTGCAACACAGCCAGTGTACCGGAGCACCCCACAACCACACAGGGAGCACCTCAGCCCCCCCCCCACGGAACTCAACAGGAGGGGAGGTCGGCCCCTGCATCTCAGCAAACACTGCAGCCCCCCCCCTTGCAGGTCACACAGGCATGTCTGACAACACAGAGAGTGGGCCCACTTGCCTACCCGCAGGGCCATAGGGATGGTTACATAAACTGATGCACATGAGAACATTTTGCCAACAGAAGGAACTGTCAATGTTCTTATTCTCAAGCCCATTATCAGCACAGGCTGCCACCCCTTCTCTCCCATTAACCTTGCCTTTTAAGGACTGCCCCTGGCCCGCCCCACCCCACCCCTACCCGACCCCAACAACCAGACAATGGATTTTTTTGGTGGGAATTTTCCTTTTGCCTCTTCTCTGTAGGCTAGGAATCCTTTACCAGGAATTTTCAAACTTGAGCTTGGCTCTGGGATGGAGGACTGGGGAGGCAACACCCAGAGCCTTGTCCCCTGTTGTTGGCTATCAGCAGTTAGAGCTGGCAAGAGCTCAGAAAGTGGGACCCTCAGTCCTGGTGTCCCAGCTTCTCTGGCCTGGAAGGTGGCATAGCCAAGGCAGACCAACCTGAATACCCTCTCCCCCTAGCACAGAAAGAAAGAAAGAAAGAAAGAAAGAAAGAAAGAAAGAAAGCAAGCCAGCTTGCAGACGGGAGTCATGCAGAGACAGGGATGCAGACAGGGATGCTCTGGTCCCCTCTGAGAGCAAGTCCCAGTGGCCATGAGGTTGCCTGCCCAGAGGTCTCATTCTCCCTCCCTCCTACCCACGTGAGTCAATCGGCTCCCTTGGCCACCGAGGCAGGCTTAAGCTGGACTCTGTCACTCTCAAGAGCCCTGTGATTATTTATTCCCAGGGATGTGGTGAGCTCAGACCCACTATGCTGAGGCTTTTGAGAGAAAGTTGGTTAAAAGTCTTGTTTGTGGTCGACTGAAGGTCCATGTTAATTGGCTGGTCCCCACAGGGTGAAATTTAGAAGGTGGGGCCCAGGGGGAGGTCTTTAAGTCATTGAAGATCTGACCTGAAGAGAGGACTGTGGGATGCCACTACCCCACCCCTCCTCCCCTGCCATCTGGGACCCTCACCAGGGACCGAGGCAATAGGTCCACCTGACCTTGGGCTGCTGTCTCCAGAGCTCATAACTAAAAAAATGCTGCTCTGGTAAGGTAATTTGCCAGAGAGACAGAAAGATGACCAGAACCAGGATGTGCTGCAGAACCAGCCTGCCTCCATCTTAGGCTTAAAAGCCACCTAATAGTAAAGGCAAACCAGGGTTATTCCTGTTATGATCAAACCTGCTTCTCAAGGATTGGGCTATACCCACCTGTAACCTTCACTGCAAAAGGTTCAGTACTACATGTTCTAGGACACGGCAGTCTTGTCTTCATTTCAAAAAGTTATTTATAACCATTTTGCAACCCTACCTTTGCTTCAAAAGGTTGCATGACTTGTGATGGCCTTGTTACAACTGTGACACCTTGTTATGCTCATCTTGCAACCACGTCTTTGTTCCAGAAGGGACCAACTTGTTTTGCTTGTGTTCTATTCCTGTAACCCTATTTTACCTGCCAAATCCCCCATTTAGAAACCCCCTACCCATGAGCTACAAAAGCCTTGTCTTCCTCACATTCAAGGCTAACCTCCTGAACCCTGCCTTAGGGGAGGCAGCCCATGTATAGGAATAAAAAAGCTTGCTTTAATTAATGGCTTGCTTTAAATGTGGCCATGATGTTTTGGGTGGGTGGTCTTTCTCCTCCTAACTTTGGGATTAACAACGCCAGTGGGCACAAACCTGCCTCGCCATTCTGATCATGGAACTATAACTGTGCCAACTGGCACAAGCCTACCTGGGGATTCCTAACGTGGAATTCCTTCTCCCCCTCCTTGATTCGACGGAAGGGGATCCATTCCTCCTCCAGGGATTCAGTGTGCTGGCTCTCTTGTGGGGTCTGCTTGCAGAAGTAGGTGGTCGAAGCTGACTGGTCCCTGAACGACATATGCATTCAGAAAGAAAGCAAGAAGACAATGGTGATCTCATCTCTGCCCTTTACCCTCGCCTCCCTCCCAACCATGAGATATGGGCTCTCTGCTTGGTAAGGAGATGCAAAGGAAAGCAGAGAAAACATGGGCTGGGGACAGGCCTGAGTTTGAGCCCAGAGTCAGCTGTGTCATTCAGCCAGCTATTGAACATCTCTGAACCTTGATGTTCTACTCTTTTAAATGGGTATAATAACTGTTTTGCATGGTTATTAGAAATAATACAGTGGGGCGAGGGGATATAGCTCAGTGACAAAATGCTTGCCCACGTGTGTGGGCCTGGATGCCCCAGCACACAAACTACACTAAAAAAGAAATAACACATTGATAGGGGACTAGCTTGTACTCTAGCTCACCACAGGTGTCCAACTGACTGCAGGTCACCAGACTGTCCTCTTACCTGTGCTCCAGGACAGCAACCACAAAGCCACGGGAGGCCAGCTCCATGCTGAAGGCTGAGTACAATGCCCTGGAGAGTCACAGGGAGAAGAGATAAAAAACACAGCCAGCTTCACCCATGCTCTGCTAGTGGCTACCTCAGATACTGGCTAGGTAGGTGTCACAGGTGGTCCTCTTCCAGATCGTGAAGCCCTCATCCCAGGGCTCTGGGGTCCTCCAGCGTGTGTTGGCAAGACATTCTTCAATCTGAGATGCCTTTCCACACCACTGAATCTGCCTACCCCAGCCCCAGTTAGATTATGACTACCCTGACATATTTTTTTTTTGTGTGTGTGTGTGTGTGTGTACATGCTCCTATTTGTTAACATGTGTGTACACATATGTATGTCTGCATGTGGAGACCATGTTGCCAGGTGTCTTTTCAACCACTTTCTACCTTCTTCTCATTATTATTATTATTATTATTATTATTATTATTATTATTATTTTACATTTTCAGGCAGGGTTTCTCATTGAACCTAGAATACATCAATTCTGTGAGACTAGCTGGCGAGAGAAAGAAGCCTCCTGTCTCATCCACTCTTGAACTGGAATTATAGGTGTGTTCAGCCGTGGCCAGATTTGACACAGGTTTTGGGGATCAAACTCCAGTCAGTCTCATGCTTGTACAGCAAGTACTTGACCCACTGAGCAGGGTCTCGCTACATAGCCCAGGCTGGCCTGGAACTCACAAAGATCTGTCTGCCTCTGTGTCCTGAGTGCTGGGATTAAAAGCATGTGTCACAACGCCCAGCATAAATATTTTTTAAAACCACACAAGGTGCCTGGTGGTGATGGTGCATGCTTTAATCCCAACACTTAGGAAGCAGAGGCAGGTGGATCTCAGTGAGTTTGAGGCCAGTTGGTCTACAAAGCAAATTCTAGAACAGCACAGAGAAGCCCTGTCTCAAAAAAGCCAACAACTAAACCAAAACAAACAAACAAACAAACCACACAAGGGATGGCAAGGTAAAGGCCCTTGCCTCACCAGCCTAGCAACCTGAATTTGATCCCAGGATGTGCAAAATAGGTGGAAGGAGAGAAATTACTTCACAAAGTTAATTTTACCTTTCACAAGTACCATATATGATAATAATACATTTTAAACACACACAGAAATCTAAAGCAATTTAAAATATTCAAGTAGTCATATTTTTAAAAAGGATCATTGGGGAGGCTGGAAAGCTGGCTCAGCAGTTAAGAGCACTGGCTGCTTTTCTGGAGGACCCGGATTTGACGCCCAGCACCCACAGAGTGGCTCACAACCAACTGTAACTCCAGTTACAGGGGATCTGGCACCCTCTTCTATATATACATATAGCACACATGTGCTGTCCTAGCACTTGAGACATGAAGGTGAGGACAGGAGTTCGAGGCTAGCCTTGTCTATGAATCAAGAACTTGTCTCAAAACAAGTAAGAAGAAAGAGAGCTGAAGAGCACTTGCTACTCCAACTGCCTATCACTCCAGTTCCAAGGGATCTTGTGCCCTCTTCTGGCCTCAGTGGACACTTGCACACAAGTGCACATACACACATGCAGACACACATAACTAGAAAAATATTTTTAATCTTTTTTTAAGTAAAATTAAAGACAGTGGTCGCACATGTCTTTAATCCCAGCACTCAGGAGGCAGAGGCAGGTGATCTCTGTGAATTCAAAGCTACCCTGGTCTACATAGTGAGCTGCAGGACAGCCAGGGCTACACAGAGAAACTGTGCCTCAAAAAACCAAAACAACAAACCAAAACAAAGTAAAAAGAAGCAAATTAACTTTACTGATATATTTTATTTAAGCTACAATAGCCTATTATACTTTTATACCTTATTTAACCTATTGCAATCTATGTTCCCCACTCCAATTTCCAAATATAATAAAAAAATTAATGAATGAAATGTCATTGTATTCTTACTCCCATGCAGTCTTTGTACTCTGGTGTATATTTTACACCTGAAGCATGTCTCAGCATTGACTAACCATCTTCTCAACCTTAAAGAGCCACATGGGGGCTGGAGAGATTGCTCAGAGGTTAAGAGCACCGACTGCTCTTTCAGAGGTTCTGAGTTCAATTCCCAGCAACCACATGGTGGCTCTCAACCATCCCTTATGAGATCTGGTGCCCTCTTCTGGTGTGCAGATATACATGGAAGCAGAATGTTGTATACATAATAAATTAAAAAAAAAAAAGAGCCACATGGAGCCCACAGCTTATGGAGCAAACAGCTCTAACAAATGAGATGCAGTCAGCTGCATGACACTGAGCTACCCAGGAGGCTCTCTTTTAAAGTAGAGTGTTCCTTTATGTTGCCTGGGATGCAGACACCATAGGTCACGAGATAATGGAAGCCATACACAGCAGAACAAGCAAGGCACGGCTCTCTGCTACATTCATGGAACTGTGACATCAGCCCTGTCTGTCCATCTCTGGCTCCCCTCACCTGTTTCTTTTGTGTTTTGATAAGGTTTTTTGTTTTTTGAGACAGGGTTTCTCTGTATTGTTTTGGATCCTGTCCTGGCACTTGCTCTGAAGACCAGGCTGGCCTCAAACTCACAGAGATCCACTTGCCTCTGCCTCCCAAGCGCTGGAATGAAAGGGTGCACCACCACTGCCTGGGTTTGAAGAGGGGTTTTATGTAGTCCAGGCTGGTCTCAAACTCACTAGTCTGCAGAGATGACCTTGAACTTCCCTGACCCTCCTGCTTCTAGCTTCTAAGTGCCAGGGTTAGCAGCAGGTACCCCTGTGCTTGCCCATCTAGCCTGCTATAACTGGGAGAGAAATAAAGAAGTTTTACTTGTGGGTGGGTGTTTTCTTCTTTTGCAGCCCATGCCATGGTTACACCCAACCTGAGCCCAGGGAAGGAAGGAATTTGATAATGTGTTAGTCACTCATGTTTGATGGTGTCTGTTAAGAATACCCCTATAACTGAGGGAGACTCCGGTTCTAAGGTTGCCTTTTGTGTCTCCCAGGTTTCCAGAGAGGCAGTGAACCGGATAAATGACTTCTGATCCCTTCCCAGTGTGTACTGTGTAAGGTAGACAAGTTGTGGCTCGTTGTTCCAGGGCCAGTCATGCCTATCTGCCTACTTCAGAGGACTGTGTGGGGACCATAGGGAACAGTGGCATTCTAGAAGCCAGTTAGGTAGCATTTACGCACGCATGCTCTTCACTAGAAGCTACCCATTAGTGAACAAGGGAAGAATTTCAAGGTGAAATTAACCAGAGAAGCTAAAAAGGCAAACTGTCCTTTGACCCCCATCTCCCTCTTCCTCTTGGAGTTTCACTCATGGTTAATGAAGGACCTTTCTACTGGTTCATTCTGGTCTACTGAAGAATGACATCCCAAGGGAGCTTTCTAGTCAGAGGACCACCTCCAGATCACGTGCTCACTGATCTCTCCAGCACACACACACACACACACACACACACACACACACACACACACGCGGCTCTGAAGGCTGGGACTCTTCTACTCACAGCAGACTTGCTCTCAGTTTATTACAAAAGAAACCAGCACAGATAACCACACCCTTGCCTTCCCTAGCCTTATCATCACACCTACTCTCCACTTCCGGCCAGCTGCTAGTTATGTTTGTCTATACACCAGCTCCTCTAGTGTGAGTGGTTTTCTGAATGTGTGCATCCGGATTTTCCACCCTCCTTTTGTGCCAGGGAACTGCATCCAACAGGTGCTTAAGAAAGGTTGGTGAATGAATGGGAATCCAGCAAAACAGTCCTGCGATCCTTTGTGAATGAGTATTTGCTGGGAAACTATGACTTCCAGACACTGTCTTATGCACTGGGGGCATAGAAGCCAAGTGTGGTGTCTGTCTTCACAGAGGTTACAGTCTAGCAGGGAAGACAGACAGCACCCGATCGGGAGGCTCACAACCACTTTTAACTCCAGCTCCAGGGGATCTGATGCCCTTCAGTCTTCCTCAGGTACCTATGCTCACACGCACGCACGCACGCACGCACACACGCACACTCACGACATACACACACAAACACACACACACATAATTAAAACCAGAAGAAATCATTTAAAAAATATGCTGCAATTATGTTAAGTACTGAGAAATACAAATAGTACTTGAAAACTCAGCCTCATAGAAGAGTCAGGATGGCACCTTCAGAAAGGGACACACAAACCAGGTTTGCGGTGTGCACCTCTAATCTTAATACTTGAAAATTTAAAGACGGAATTAAGTTCAAAAAGCTTCTAAAATGTTTCATCTAGGGCCTGGAGAGATGGCTCAGTGGTTGAGATCACTGTCTGTTCTTCCAGAGGACCCATGTTTGATTCCCAGCACCCACATGGTGACTCACAACCATTTGGTTTTTGGTTTTTTTGTTAGTTTGTTTGTTTGTTTGTTTTGGTTTTTCGAGACAGGGTTTCTCTGTGTAGCTTTGGAGTCTATCCTGGAACTAGCTCTTGTAGCCCGGGCTGGCCTGGACCCCACAGAGACCCCCCTGCCTCTGCCTCCCGAGTGCTGGGATTAAAGGCATGCGGGACCAAGCCCGGTGACTCACAACCATTTGTAACTCCAGTCCTAGGGAATCTGACACTCTCTTAAAAAAGAAAGAAAGGAAGGAAGGGAGAGAGGGAGGGAGGGGGGGGGGGGGGGGGGGGGAGGGAGGGAGGGAGGGAAGGAGGGAGGGAAGGAGAGAGGGAGGGGGAGGGAGGAAGAAAGGGTTTCATTTAGAAGAACATTCATGTACTCAACAAATACTTATTGAGACCTCAATCTGCCAGGCACTCTTTAAGGTACTGGACCAGCAAGGTTGGATTTGGGCTTCTTTTGCCTTGAGACAGGATGTCACCACAAGGCACACACTGATGTGTAAGTATCAAGTTAGTCTATTTTTTGGATTGGATTGGATTAGAATGTTGGAGTTTTACAGATTGGCCCCTGAGGTGGATGGAGAGATTGCTCGATGGTTAAGAGCACTGGCTGCTCTTATGGAAGACTGAGTTCGATCCCAGCACCCACATCAGGTACCTCACAGCTGTCTGTAACTTCAGATCCACCACACATGACACCTCTGGCCTCTGTGAGCACCTGCATTCTCGTGCACATACCTACACGAGACACACAATCTGCACATATATTTAAAAATAATAAAAATAAATCTTAAAAAAAGACTGATGTCTGGGTTGCTAATTTGAGTTTCACAAACACATAAAAAGTGTTAAATGGATCTTGGCTTGGGATTAAGTCAGAATTTCCAATTTCTGAAATGGCCCTAAACATACTTCTGCCATTTTGTACTATGGATTTATATAAAATGGCACTCTCAGCATCAATGACTATAAAACCAAAACCCAATCAACTGTGAAAAACCCTGAGGATACTCTAGGATATCTTATGGTATCCAATATTCAGCCTAGAGTCCATCCCTTATACAAAAATAATAAAGTTCAACCATTTCATTAGTATGCAAATTTGCCTTTGCTTTTAATGAGTGGTAAAATGATATGCATACCAAATCATTATTTTAAAATCAATTTCTTTATGATTTCTTACCAGCAAATGTTTGACCTATATTCCTATTTTATACACTTTTAATAGTGGGCGGCCCTGTAACAAAGCCAGGCAAAAAAAACCGAGTCACAAGTAGAAAACCTTAAGAAGCCCTGGTCTAGGGAAGGAAGGCCAGTGCTATGCCAAGGGCCAGATGGGGAGTAAGAGGGCAGGTATGTGAGATATCTGTTATTGGACCCTCTGAGACTATATTAAGACACAGCAGCTCTCACAACGCAAGGACTATGGCGAGGTCCAGGGACAAAGCTCTTACCTGAAGCCTCCTAGGCCATGGGACAAGATGATCAAGGGGTATCCAGATTCCTTTGTCTTAAAGGGGCCATTCCAGCTAACAGGCAAGCGACAAGATCCTGGCAGAGACACAGGCTATAGCATCTCTGGCTGCCTGGAACTGCAATCCCAAGGGCAGCCGGAGTACAGGTAGGGATGGGCATTTGTGGTCCTCCCCTCTCCAGAACCACCAGGAAAAAAATTCCAAAGAGGCAGTACTGAAGAAATCTGGGGCAGATGAGTGAGGTGTCAAGGCCAGAGGGGATGCCAGGGGTGGGGACTTGGGACGAGGGAGGGAAAACAGCCCCAGAGGGCATGCTGCAGGAGTACAGATGCTCTCTGGGAGCCAAGAATGTCTGATACAGCTGCTGGGGTGGCGGTAAAGCCTATGGCTATGGGATGTGGTCCAGTGCTAAGCGGCAGGGCACTGGCCTAGCATCTATGAGGCTCTGGGTTTGATCCCCAGTACTGAAAGGAGGGATGATCTACAGAGTGGGCAAGAATGCACGCTCGATTTAGGAATCCCAGCCAAACCCCATCTGATGCTCCAAACACTGCACTGGAAGCTCCGCCTACACCCGGCACCACAGCTCTACAAAAGCTGGCAGGCGAGCAGGGTAAGTGACTTGCCTAAGTCCCAGTAAATTACAAAGTCTGGATTTGAATCCATGGCCCAAATTCTCACACATTCAATTCTCTCCCATTTCTCCATACCAAGGACTGGACTGTACAAGCTAAAAGTCTGTCTGGCTTTCTCCTGGGGACATAAATAGGCCACTAGGAAGGTACCTGGGTCAGGCCAGCCTTACCGATACCCAGGTTGAACAGCGACCCAACCCAGCGCTTGTTATACTGCAGGTAGTCAGCCAGGCCCAAGCAGTACTCATAGCGGGGAATCCACAGGGGCTGCTCACACTTTGTCTCTGATGCTTGGCAGGGGTAGAAGAGTCGGAAGAGGCTCCCCTGGGGAAGAGAAGAGAGTAGATGCTGGGCCAAGAAGCCTGGGAATTGTGAGTCAGTAGGAGTCTAGGTGAAAGCCAGGCTGGACACCAATATAGAGAATCAAGGCTTCCTCAAATCTAGAAACAATTTTGTTGTTAGCGTGTAGAACATACAGCTATGTTCTTCCCATTGTCAAACTGCATTTTGGATTACATCCTGAAACAGCACCGCACCAAAACATCAAGAGAGTTTGTGGACCCAGGCTTGTTGCAAACAGGGGACCTGGATTTGCCCTGAGGTTGAACAGGAAGGCAGCAGTGGGTCACCCAAGCCACTCTTCCAGGCTGCCTCTCAGGAGGCAGCACTACACTTGGTCACAAGGGAGCCAGAGAATGGTTACGAGGAAGTGGCTATCCCTCACAGGACAGAGGAGAGTCCAACCATCAGGAACAAAAAACATAAGAAACTGCTAGGCCATGGTGGCACATGCCCGGAGTCCCAGAGATGGGAGGGTCAGGGGCTTATTTCTGGTTATCCTTGGCTACATTTCCAGTTGGAGACCAGCCTGAACCACATGACAAACCTGTCTCAAAAAATGTTTACAAAGGAGAAGGAGGAGACAAAGAAAAAGAGAAGCCTAGAAACTGGCAAGAGGGTTCAGAACGTGGGAAACAGATGGAAGCAGGGGACAAAAACACCACCTTCCCACCCAAGACTTATTGTCAGGACAGTGTGCAGGGCCCCCTTTGCCTCCGCCCACCCGCCTACACCAGGATGAGATAGAAAACCTTCCCGAGATCCGATGCCCGACTCAAGACAGAAGGAAGGGTCTGTGAACTGCCTCTGAAGACAGTGGCACCGCCTCCTTGCTGGAGAAAGAACTGAGTTTGTTTGTCAATTGGGAAGGTTGTAATATTTTGAAAGAGGAATTTTTAAAAGGCAGAAAGACAGGCCTAAGAGCTGATAACCAAACCCACCCCAGCTGTAACCTAGCTCCCCAGGACTGCACACCTAGAGCGGTGGAGTCCCCACACATGTGCAGAAGTCACGTAGGGCAGGGGCTTGGGACACCTACCTCCAGACTCTGACCCACCATCACATCTGTGCAGCCAACGTGGTGGGGGCCCGAGATGGCTGGAAAGCACATAGACTGGCCAGTCCCCATCTCATCACCAGCTGGACCAAAGCCTGGGTGTCCTGAACTTGCTGGCTGGAAGACAGAGCATAGAATAGCCTCTTGCTGGTCTCTTTCTCACTTGCTGCGTCTCTAGGTCATGTGCTAACCCTGTCCACTTCCTGACATCCTTATCACTCCGGCCTTCTTGACAGCTACTCAATAAACCACAGGCACCATTTGCGTTTACTGTTTGCCAACATTTACAGGCTGGCTTCTTGGTTGTTGGTTTTGTGGTGGTGGGATGGAACGCAGGGCCCTGCACGTGCTAACAAATACTCCATTCCCAGCCCTTCAGACTGTATTCTTCAATTCCCTCAAAACCAATAAACACAAGGACTGGTGTGTGTGTGTGTGTGTGTGTGTGTGTGTGTGTGTGTGTGTGTGTGTGTGTGTTTCAGTTAGTAGAGGGCTTGCCTAGCATCCAAGAAGCCCTGGATTCAATTCCCAGCACCACATAACACAGATAACACAGTTGTGCTGATAAACACCTACAACCACAGCACTGGGGAGGTGGTGGCTGGAGGATTAGGAGTTCAGCGGCATCCCTCAGCTACAGTTCAAAGGCAGCCTGCCTCAGGATTAACACATGCTGACACTGCACCTATTGTGTTCACCCAGCAGTAACTGCTGTGGTGATCACAGCCCAGACCTCGTCCTTTCGTGGCTAATAGTACCCGCTGAGACCTAGCGCTTCCCCTGTTAGCACTGTACTAAGCCCTCACAGGTGATGCTTATCTAATTCTCTCAGCAACTGTCTGAGAAAGGAGGGACCAGGGCCAGTTTTACAGATGGCGAACCAAGGCAGACAGAGTTACCCTGGCTATTGGGGTATCTAACCCATAACTCACCCCATTTAAAGCAACAAAATTTAGATTCCTATTCCTATTCCTTATAGCCAAAGCCAGCTGCACCGGCAGGGTCGTAGGCCCGAATGGTTTGTTTTGACATTCTGCTTCCTCCTCCGGGAGGATCAGTGTGCAAGTCAAAGCATGCCTGGGCCAGAAGAGACCTCAGAGGTGGTTGCCACCCACGCTCCCTGGCTCCCTGCAATCTCCCCTCGCCCCACCTCTGTAACCCACGTACACATTACTGAAAAAGTCAAGGTCCTGAGAGACTCAGTGAGCTGCTCAAGTCACAGCACAACTGTTAACTACACACGTACCGCCTGACGGCCAATCATGCAGAAGAAAACCCCAGCGTCCCAAAGAGTCACTCATTAAATAATGTTGGAAGGTGAAGATTTTCTTTCTACCATTCATTTTTCCCTTTTGTTTTTCCAATGCAAACTTGAAGATACCCACTATTACAAAGAGGAGAGGAGAAAGAGCTAAGCTCAGCTGCAGGCACTGACTACTCGGCCAGAGGGAAAGAGGAGGAGGAGTCTCCGGAGGTTCCCCCTTGTAGCTGAGGGCAGCGGCTGGAGATCTGAGGCTGAGGCTGCAGCTGCAGGACACATGTGGATCACATGATGGTGAAGCAGCTGCAGATCTTGTCGTAGAGGAGAGATAAAATGCCACTGGAGTTCTGGGGAGAGAGAGTGTGTGTCCCCTGAGCATGGGAGCAGAGAGCAGGGCAAGACAGGAAAGAAAAGAAAGTGTCAGGAAAGGGCCTGTGAGCCACAGGGGCAGCCAGTGCTGGTTTTGAGGGGAGAAAGGGCTGTGTGTACACATTTCCATGCATCTGTGTCGCCGTGCACACGACAGGCATGTGGAGGTCAAAGGACAACCTCACGTGTTGCGTCCCCTGGGCTTCCCTTCCCAAGTTGTTGACTGAGGAAGGCCCCCCCCCGGATCTACCTGGCTGCTTCTCATTTCACCATCACTGAGATTATAGCATACCATCAAGTCAGGCTTGGTTTTTTTTTTTTAATTTTTAAAGTTACATTTATTTATTTAATGTGTGGGAGTGCATTGTGACGATATGGTTTTGGGTATCAGAGCACAACTTGAGGGAGTCCACTTTTCTCCTACCTCGAGGAGAGATCAAACTCAGTCATGTTTAGCAGCAAGTGTCTCTATCCACCTCTCTGGCCTCTGGCTTCTTCTTTTTTAATGGCAGGGTCTCTCTATGTAGCCCAGGCTGTCCTGAAACTTGCTATGTACACAGGCTAGCCTTGAACTCAGAGATCCATCTGCTTCTGTCTCCTGAGTGCAGGTGTTAAAGCCATGTGCCACCACACCCAGCCTTTTTTCTTTTTCTTTTTTTTTTTTTGTGAGCCCTAAGGATCTGAACCGGGGTCCTCATTATCTGTGAGACAAACACCTTAGCAACTAAGCAGTCCCCAAGCCGAAGACCCAGCTCCTATCTAGCTTGGGCACCTAAACCTGATCTCTCCAAGCCTCGTTCTGCATCTGCATAAGGGGATTTGTATCAGTCTTTGGTTGCTATGGAGACAAATGAAACCATGCAATTAAAACACATTGCATAGTACCTGGCATGAGCAAATATCTAGCCGTACTCATTGACTGCAAGAAAAGCAGAAACAATAGAGTTTGGCAACTGTGTGGATTTGGGAACCAGAGGAGAAAGGGAGAGGCAAAGGGTGAGGCGGGATTGAGGACTGTATGGCCAGGATTTTATGGAAGGGCATTTTTGTCTCATCTGAGATCAGTCCTTGGGTCAGACATCAGGAACGATATTTGAAGAGTCATAGAGCTGGGGGTACACAGAACCCTCATGATTTTGGCAGGCTTCTGAGAGGGCCCATCAGCTAAATTCTGCTTGGGAATAAATAAAAACCAAAGAAGACAACTGGCCAGGCTGAAGCTAACCTGCAAACAGCCTGACTTCCCAGGCTCCCAAGGACAAGATAGGGGATAAAAGTCAATCTTACTTGCAAATTACAATGAAACATCCAGCCTTACCTCCCATAAATGGCATGGGATTTTTCTAGGGGAGTCGATCAGGTGTGTTCCATTGCTCACCTTGGCTCCACAATTCATGGCAGTGCCTGCCTGGAACCTCTCCTTCAACCAGGCCCAGTGAGACCACCTAGGACAAGTACCTAAACTCCCACCTTCCTTCCTCTCAGCTCTGAGCACAGCCCCCCTCTCTCAGCCCTCTCCCCCCCCCCAAGAGGCTATGAGGTGCAATGCCTGGGCCGGCCGTAGCAGTCTCAGTGACTTGCGTCCCATGTAGTCCATGTGAAATCTATGTCAGAGGTTTCTGAACCTACTACCCAATCTCCCTGCAAACCCTAACACTGTATTTCCTCCATTTGCAGAAAAATCAATGTGAAATTTGTTTGTTTGTTTTGTGGGGGCCTAGGGTGGGAACCCAGAGTCTTTCAAATGCCAGGCAAGCACTTTACAAGCTACACTCCCAGATCCAAGTTAATATTTTTAAGTCCTCCATGTTTGTGGTCAGCAGGATTCGAGGTCTCTGAGGGAGGGTCTTTTCATTCTGACACACATGGTCACATACATGCAACAAACCCTGAATGCACCCTATGGACTTTACCATCATCTCACTGGGCAAATCACCATGGCCACCCAGAAACACATAGGCTAATGTAGGCAAGATGGCTCAGCAGACAAAAGAGCTGATATTCTGTGTTCAGTTCTCAGAAAGCACATTGTGAAAGGAGAAGAAATCCACCCCTGGCCCTGCCATTGTCCTCTGACCTCCACACAGTCACCATGTACCACAGGTACCCAGTCACACATGAATAAACAAATGTTTTAAAAATTACTCTCAGCCTGGCGTTGGTGGCACATGCCTTTAATCCCAACACTCTAGAAACAGAGACAGGTGGATCTCTGTGAGTTCAAGACCAGCCTGGTCTACAGAGTGAGTGCCAGGACAGCCACAACTGTTACACAGAGAAACCCTGTCTCCAAAACAAAACAAAATTACTCTCTCCAATAAGTGCTATTTAATTTTTTGCACTTATGTCTTTTCTCTTCATGTGAACTCCACCAGAGTAAAGACCATACTTTAGCCAGGTGATAGCGGCGCATGCCTTTAATCTCAGCACTCAGGAGGCACAGGCAGGTGGATTCTGTGAGTTCGAGGCCAGCCTGGTCTACAGAGCTACTTCCAGGACAGTCAGAGCTACACAGAAAAATCTTGTCTTGAAAAACCAAACCAAACGAAAAGTCATGCTTTGTATCTGCAGGACAAACTATCTGTCACATGCTTTCCACAGGCAATAAGAACTCACTGTGTCTTCTTTTGGCTTTAAAATCTTTCAATTTTTCTCCTCGGTTGTTCTGAGACAGGGTCTCTCTGGGTAGCCCAAGCTGGCTCCAAATTCAAGATTTCCCTGTTCACCTCCCAAGTGTTAGCATAATAGGTGGTATCACTATATCCAATTCAGTTAGTTTTTAATCTGTTGCGTTTATAAAAAAATTTCTATGCTATAAAGGGAAAAGAAAACTTTTGGTCACTTTGAATTCCATCTCTTCTACTTACCAGCTGGCTGTAACATATAGATGTATGTTTATATTAAATATATTGTGTATATTTAAACATATATATAACATTTATTTATTTATTTATTGGAGGGGTGCCATGGTACCCCATGTGGAGGTCAGAGGACAGCCTGCAGGGGTTGGTTCTCTCCTTCCACCATGTGGGTCCTGGGATAGATTTCAGGTAATCAGGCATGACAGTGCCTTTACCCACTGTGCAATCCAGCCAGCCACAGCTGTGAATCCTTCACCTTAAACTCTAAACCTGTTATCAGTGACTCAGTGTGTAAAGTGTCCGGCACATTGCAGACACTCTGGCTTCAAGAGGCACTGTAACTATTTTAGCTAACTAACTATATGAGTGCTCCAAGTCTAACTTCTTTATATATGAAACAGGGACACTTCACAAGTGAAGTTTAAAGGAGAAAATCGATAATGCCTAAGGCCTGGTACATTGTAACTACCCCTAAAACGTCAGCAATTAATCAGAAATGCTGTGGCTCTCTTTCAAAATACTCAGCTGAAGTTTTCCATTTTTCCTGGCATAGATTCCTTTGGCAAAATGAATCCTCTCCCAGGCTTTTCATGCCTGAGACACACCTACCAACGTGCACTAAAGAGGCTCAGAAGAGCCCAAAGGGAAAGGACGGGATTTTCCTTGTAGCGCTGTCCTCTGGAGTCCTGCTTCTAGCGATCAGCTGTTTCTCTGCCTGTCCTGTGGACTTTTCATCACCGGCTCTTTCAGGCCAGAGTCCAAGATAAGCACCCCTCTTGGGCTTCCTTTCAGACAAAGCTCTCTGGAGGCTATGGGCTCGGGGCCTGTCTGATCTTTGGTCTCTGGAGGAAGTGAGGAAATAACCCGGTCTTAGATGAAGACATCAAGAGCTCAAGGGACTAGATTGAGCAACGAGGCGGCAAAACTAGAAAAGCTGCCCTGAAAGGGATGTCCTAGAGCACAAACAAATGGCACAGAGAAAATCTCTGTTGCTTCTGGGGGTCTCGCAGTTTTTTGTTTTGTTTTGTTTTGTTTTGTTTTTTTCGAGACAGGGTTTCTCTGTAGCTTTGGAGCCTATCCTGGCACTCACTCTGTAGACCACGCTGGTCTCGAACTCACAGACATCCGCCTGCCTCTGCCTCCCAAGTGCTGGGACTAAAGGCGTGTGCACCAACTCCCGGCGGAGGTCTCGCAGTTTACAAAGCACTTTCATGCACTGTAGTATAGAAGAAGAAGAAAGCGAGTCCCAGAGAGCCTGTGCGGTTTGCCCAAGGTCGCGGGGAGTGAGGCGGGGCTCTTTGCTGCACTTCAAGTTCACAACACTTGAGGGAGAATTTGGCAGTCTTCTTACACCAACGGGACAAAGAGGAGCGGAGCGCAGGTGGAGGACAGAAAGCAAGCAGCCGGGGCTCAGGGACTCGGCTGGGGTGAGGGTCAGGGCGGGGATCTCGGGGCGCGGGAGTGACAGTTCCTGGTGACCCCGGGAGGGCTTAGGTGCGGGGCGGGTTCTGACGGGACTTGTCTGAATAGGAAACAGACAATGAAGAGCATAGGTTAGCGGGCAGATTCTGAGGTTGAGAGACCAGAAGGCCCCACGCTGGGACACGGAAAGGTCTTTGGATAGCTCAGTTGAGAACTGGAGCTTTCGTCAATCAAACTTACCCAGTCACGCTGATCACTCAGAAGCAACCTCAGAAAGGTTGCTCGACGGAAACCCGACACCGCTCAGGAACCTGCCCGCGGCCCTCTGGGAGTAGTAGTTCCTTTCATGTACCATGGGCGCTTAAATCTATGCGCTGCCTCTAGGTGTTAAACTACAAGTCCCGTGGCGCAACGCGAGAGACGGCGCCTCGACATCCCAGGACTGTAATTCCCAGAGTTTCGGACTACACCCTTGGATGCGTGAACCCGCCAAGGCCAGGGATGCGGTGAGACTGCTCCCCCTGGTGGTTTGAGGAGCAACAGCCCCGGTGACAAGTCTCCAGCGGAGGGGTATAGTACTGGAAAGTAACCCTCCGCCTCTCTGGTCCTCACATAGTTCCCAGGCGTGCCTAGACATATACCCGGCTTCACTTTGTTCTCAGGAAGATGTGGAGATGGGATGTTGTTTTCCGTTCCT